CGATGAGCGCGCTTTCCTATTTCAGATCCAAGTTTGCGCTGATGATGAACTATTTGGATGAATCGCCAGGCACAAAGTCAACCATCTTAGTGTCATCAGCTAATTTGAACTTTAACTCCGGCTCATGCTCTGTTGTTCGTTTCTTTAATGACATCATGTCCGCCGGGTCAACATGATCCTTGTAGAATTTCAACTCCTTTGTCGCACAAACAGATTCAGCATAGGCAGCATCCCCTTCTTCACATTCCAAGGCTATTTTCCGGCTCCCATGGACTGTAATGGTGCCCTTGTGACCCGGCATCTTGAGTTGCAAATATGCGTAACACGGCCGAGCCATGAACTTGGCATAAGCCGGCCGCCCAAATAGAGCATGATATGGGCTCTTGATTTTAACCACCTCAAAGGTTAATTTTTCTGCTCTGGAGTCATACTCATCTCCGAAAGCTACTTTCAGCTCGATCTTACCAACTGGGTATGCCGACTTACCAGGCACCACACCATGAAAAACAGTGTTGGATTGTTTAAGATTTTTATCCGTCAATCCCATCCGGCGAAACGTCTCATAGTAAAGGATGTTGATGTTGCTGCCTCCATCCATGAGTACCTTAGTAAATTTGTACCCACCCACCTGAGGTGCTACTACTAACGCCAAGTGACCCGGATTATCAACCCGGGGCGGGTGATCCTCTCTGCTCCACACAATGGGTTGTTCCAACCAACGCAAATAGCGTGGAACTGCCGGCTCAACGGCATTGACGGCCCTCTTGTGGAGTTTCTGGTCTCTCTTACATAAATTGGTAGTAAAGACATGATACTGTCCACTACTCAACTGCTTCGGGTTGCTCTGATAGCCGGATTGTTGCTGCTGCTGATTCCCTTGGCCGTGTTCCTGATTATATCCTCCCTGGTGACTTGGATGACCATGAAAACCTCCTCCACATGAACCGGCGCCCGGGCCCTGAAAGCCGCCTGAGCAGCCACCCGGGCCGCGACCCCCATCAAATGTGTTTGAATTTTTAAACGCCTTCATGATCGTGCAATCCTTCTACAAGTGGGTAGCTGGCTTCTCCCGGGTGCCGTGTCTTGGACACGGTTCATTCAACAACTGCTCAAGGGTGGGGCCTGACCTGTCCGATCGAGGGGGCTGTCTGCCCTTGCGCCGCTGATTACCATCCCGCGCTTTAGTATTAGCAACAAATTCATCAGCCTTACACTTATTACCTCCTTGATTGGCCGGGTTATGCTGGTGACCCTTGCCATTGCCGTTCTTCTTCCCCTTCGTTCCTTTTTCTTCATCAGACGCCGGGTCTTTGGTAGTATCAGAATCAGCATACTTGACAAGATCCGCCATCAACGTTCCCATGTCATTACAGTCACGTTTAAGCCGCCTCAACTTCTGCTTCAGAGGTTCAAAACGGCCATTTTTCTCTAACATCAAAACGGCCGAGCCGGCGTCCATTTTGTCAGACGAATGTATTATCTCCTTGACCCGGCGCACCCAATGGGTTGTAGATTCTCCATCCTCTTGCTTGCAGTTAGTCAGGTCCACAATTGACATCGTCTGCTTACACATGTCCTTGAAGTTCTGGATGAACCGTGCCTTCAACTCTGCCCGTGAGCCGATGGAATTGGGTGGTAACCCTTTCAACCAGGTCCGAGCCGTTCCATCCAACATCATGGTAAAGTACTTGGCCATTGCAGCATCACTAACCTCCAACAGCTCCATACCCATCTCATAACTCTCAATCCAAGCCCCCGACTGTAAGTCGGCCGTGTAGTTAGGTACCTTACGAGGTCCCTTGAAATCCTTGGGCAACCGCTCATTACATATGGCTGGGACCAGACAAGGTACACCTCCGGTTCTTGTAACCACTCCTGCTTCAACCGAGGTTGTTGGATAAGCCGGAAAGGTCTGGTGAGCCGCCTGCTCTGCTGCTATCTGAGCCACCCGTTCCGCCTCTTGACGAATCCTCTTCTGATCCGCCAAGTTAAGGGCTCCAGCCCGCACCGGTTCATGCCTATATGGCCAGTTGTGGCGTTGAGCATTACTTGACATCTCTGCAGATTCCATGTGCCTACTGTAGCTTGGGCTTCGGCTTGGGCAAGGAGTTGAATGAATCCTGCCTCGACTGTAGGAGTATGCATCCTGCTGGGCCAAGGCTATTTGAAGTAGTTCTCTTATCCTCCGGGTTTCAATTGTTGCTGGTGAGTCGCCTTCCATTGGAAGAGCTGCTAAACGAGCCGATCCCACAATGAGGTTCTCCATGGGGTTGGAGAAGTGACCCGGGGGTGTTGATATATAACGAGGAGGAGTTGTATTCATGCGCGGCGGCTCCATGGTGCGTGGCTGAACTGGTGCACCGGGCGTCGGGACTCGGTATGCCTCTGGCGGGTTGCTCCCTCCAGCTCCGGGTGTATGGAACAGATTCCTCGGATCCAATGTTAACGGCAGACGCGACTGAGTTTTCTGCCGCCTCCTCCTCATGACTTCGTTTGATGCATTAAGATCCAGCGAGAGCCGGAAGGTTTTTGCTTGAAGCTGCTGAGCACGAGCATCCAAAGCTGCTCGTTCGACTGCCATCCGGGTCTCCTCCGCCGCTAGATTTTCCTTAGCTTGCACCATCTCCTCCCGCACGCACGCCACTTCCGCGTCATGCTGGGCTTTATCCGCCGGCTCTACCGCAGCGGTTAACAGAGTCGTCAGTTTATCCACGAGGTCCATAAGAACCTTAGCTGGGGGGCGCACGGGGTCTCCTGACCCGGCAGCTGCCGACCCGGTGGCCGCTGCTGTCGCTGCGGTGGAGTTCTGCCCGGGCTGTGTCCCTGCCGTGAAGACTCCGGCCCAATTCGGCGGCTCAAGGGGGTCCGGAATACTGCTGCCATCGGAACAGCCCCCGAGCATGCCGTCTTGCAGTTGGTACAATGAGTCTGTCTCACCTGTTGATGATGCAGTATCAGAGCAGATGACCATCTCCCCGTCTTCCATCGATCCTTCAGAGTATTCACCGCCATGGATGCAGCCTACGAAGGCATGCTTTACGACAGATTGAACACGGGCGGACCCGGCGTGCTGAGCCATTTTGATGAGGTCGGTGTGGACATCCGGCTCAGGGCCTGACTCGCTGATCCGGCCGATGAAGACGTGAATTCCGCCGAAGGGGACCCGGTACCCGTACTCAATTAAGCCGGCCTCGGGGCCCCAACCTTCGTCGTCGATGTAGATCTTGCCGCGATAACTCTTGGTCATCCGGCCCACAGCGTATCCCTTGAGCCCTTTAAAGTTGCCCTTCAAGAACTCAAATCCACCGTGCGCTAGCCCCACGGTGGGCGCCAACTGTCGTGGAATTGTCACGGCAGATGTCCTAGAGTAAGGACTTAGTCGTAGGGCCATCGCACTAGGAAGCTTAAAGGGGTTAATCGGGACAAAGGACACGAGAGGGTTTTATACTAGTTCGGCCCCTTACGATGAAGGTAAAAGCCTACGTCTAGCTGGGATTGATATTGCTGAGGTTTCGATCTCCAAGAGGCTCAACTCGCCCGCTTGGTTCTCGACCTGGTTGTTTCCTTCCCTAAACCGCCACCGGGTCGTCCCCTTGTATACACGGGCTGATGCCCGGTGGCCTACAGAGTCCCGGCCGGCTCATAACCGTGTCTAGCTTGGTGACTTCTTTTACATGCCTTTCTTTACAAGTCTTGCTGCCCATACAACGGTTTGTAATAACGGGCCTTAAGCCGGCCCGAGGCCTTTGGGCTTTCTATATATTTAATAATCTATCATCTTGACTGTATATTGGGCTTCTTCTGTAACCCGCCATTAAGGCTGACCCGGCCCCTCCTGGGCGGGTCTCAACTGATAGTAATATCCCCAATAAAAGTGAAGTGAACACAGAGGGCTGGGGATGAATTATACTGACCTGACAGACTAACATAGACGTAAAGTAGGACCTTGTTGCCTCTGATCTTGAACCAGGTTTGCTAGTGGGAGTAGAAAATGTCGCTGTTGCAGGAGCAGCAGAGTGTGGGACTTGGATTACTAAATCAATCATCAAAATCACAACAAATTTTTCAATAAATCTGATCTATTTGGTCTACAATAGGACGAGTGGAGAATGAAAGAGCAAATAAAAATCCATCTCACCTGATGGTTTCAAGGACATCCATGCAGACTTGGTGGCGCCCTTGCGCAGATCTTCATTCCAGGTCAGCTGTGCTAAATGGTTGGTGCCTTTGTAGCCGATCCGCCGAACGCCTCCCGACGTCAGCGGCAGCGGCAACATTGCCACCGGCCGAGATCATTAGCATAGGCGGGGATGACGTGGTCAAGCTGCACCGTGCGCGCCGCCTTCCCCATGTCCGCCTCCTTCCCCAACGCCCTTGCCCGACCACCAAACCAAACGGCGCCGCCGTCACCATGCCAAGCCGTCACGCCAGTGAAAACCCTACAAAAAAAGAGAGGAGGGGGGGGTGTCATGGGAGAAAACATAGGCCTAGTTTGGGAGCACAATAGTTCTAAAACCACAGTAATCCAAAACTATGGTATTGTAATGCCTAGGCAATGAATACCTCGGTTTCTAAAAACTGCAGTTTTCCTCTGCTTTAGCAAAACTACAGAGTATTTGGCAAGCACAGACTTTCTAAGACCAGCTAGGCGTGAGTGTTTCTCGGTTTGAAAAAAGAGGTCCGAACATCTTTTAGATAGTGTGAAAAACCTCACTTTTGAAGATACTACGGTTTTGTAAACTAAACTAAAGTATTTGTTAAAGTCAAACAAATCAAAGTTATTTAAGCCATGGTTTTTTTAAGAAAATCATGGTATTCTCCTAAAACTTCAAAACCGTACAAGGACAGGTGGACAATGCCAGCGCCCAGCGACATCCTCTCTTGCTGGGGTTAATAACCTACTTCTCCTGTTTACCGAGCGGCTCATTTCCTTCTAGATCAGACTGAGTTGGTTGGTTCGGCAGCGGACGCGAGGTAACCCCCGTCCAACCGCCGTACCTATGGCCACCAACGGCCAGCCGGCGGCGGCGGTCGCCACCATCGATGACCTCCCTCAAAACATGCTGCTCGATATCTTCCTCCGCCTTCCCTCCCTCGCGGACCTCGTCCGCGCCGCCTGCACCTGCCTGCCCTGGCGCAACCTGGTGACCAACTTTCCCCCCTTCCGCCGTCAATTCATCGACCTCCACCCGGCGCCCCTCCTCGGCCTCTTCTTCGACACGCCGTTTCAGGCTGTCCCCGGCATCCCCGCCTTCGCCCCCGCCCACCGGAATGATCCGGAGCTCGTGGCCGCCATCTTGAACGGTGACTTTTTCCTCACCACCCTCCAGGCGCGCGACGGCCCGGAAGCTAACTGGAGCTTCCTCGACGCCTGTGGCGGCTACCTTCTCCTCATCAAAGAGGATGAGGTATTGCTCCTGCTGCTAAACCCCTTGGCACGGTGGTGCGAGCGGTTCTTTGATCTGAGTGACTCCCGCATCTTCGACGACGACGACGACGACCGCGAAGGCGATCCTCAACTCCTTTACGCCGGCCTGATCTGTGATGACGAAAGCCCCGCGAGCTTTGGCATCTTCTGTCTTGCTGCACATGGAGGGTTCAGGTTGCGGGCTACGGTCTTCTTCTCATTCTTGGGAATGGGCGGCGATTGGTTCCTCTCCCCATGGTTGGATGTCCCGCACCATCCCGAAAATATATTTTAGAGCATATGCACCCAGGCCCTCTCTATCTAGCCATCCATTTTTTGCTTTAAGATTCGTGCAAATATATTTCTCTTTTTTGTTTCTCCCACATAGAATATATCTTGAAGTTCAAACCTATGCAGCGTGACAAAGCTTTCTGAGTAGAATCTAGGATAAATCGTACAGATTTTTTTGTCAAACATAAATATACAAAATACATTTTGTTTGATTAAAAAAATCATATTTTTAGTATTTACGTCGGACAAAAAAATCTGAAAGATTTATCCTAGATTCTAGTTAGAAAGCTTTGCCATCCTGCATAGGTTTCAACTTCAAGATATGTTCTATGTGGGAGAAGCAAAAAAGAGAAAATTTCGTATAGAAATTTAGTTGTGTCGCACGGATCTTAAAGCGATATTGGAGAGTTAGGATAGCAGGGCCTGGGTGCATGTGCTCTAAAAATCCACGTCCCGCACCATCCCAACCCCCACCCGGAAGGTGACGAAGATGACGAAGGTGATCTTGTGCTTGAGAGCGGCATGCGAGTGGGTAATTTCATCTACTGGCTTTATCGGAATCGTGCGTATGTGGTTGTCTTGGACCCCGACCCAAACAACCCGTGATTGTTTGTTGAGATGATCCCACCTCTCCTGAATCTGGAAGGTTTTTGCAGCTCGATCCTTGGCCAAATTAACGGCGATAACATGTGCATTGCTTATTCAAATGGATTCAACATCGGTTTCATGCTGCGTCAAGAAGATGGCCTTGATGCTGGGGCATGGGCTAACAGCAGGGTATTCAACCTGACTGATCAAGTTCGACGGAAGCTTGGGTACTTACCCCAGAATGGGCTGAAAATTGCGGCAATGCGGGGTAGCATAGTGTACTTCACAACATCACAGATGTTCCATCCGCTCGAGGCCACTTGTTGGTTCGCTTGTCTGTGCTTGGAAAGTCGCAGGCTGGAGTGGTTGTTTCCGATGACGTATAATGGTCTCTTCCAACCATACCACCATTCATCGTGGAGTACTTTTCTGTTACCAGAGAATGAAAGATTTTATCCCTTCATATGAGGAATGATGACAACCAGAGAAGGATATTCTGTGCAAAGCATTGCCTTGTTCTCCTACTGCATCAAAACATCCAGCTACCATCCAGAACTGATCTCTTCTTTGGACCTGCATCACGCTGAAGGTCCTGGCGAAGTTCCTTGATATTCAGGATTCAATGACAAGTCAATCCTGTAGTTTGATCGTTTATTCATGGTAATTGTTGTTGTCTTCTGTTATCAAACTTACCATTTACATTGTGGGCAAATTACTTCATCTGTTCCGTGACATTCAGTATTCAGTGATAACTCAATCATGTGTATTTTGATCGTTTATCATAGTTGGGTTGTCTTCTTGTACCAAACTTCCCATTTCATTGTGGGTGAATTACTTATCTGTTCCTTGGATTCGCTAATGTCTCTTCCTCGGTATTGGGGCAAGGCATCCCGACCTTGGAGCCTCTCTTTTTTTCTTTCTGTCTGTAAGATTACTGTTCTCTACCGGTTGTAGCCTGTTTACCCATTTTACTAAAAAAATATCCGTCTTATTTTGGTAAATTAATTAGCAGCGCCTACTATCTCTATGATATGTTGTCCTCAGAATGATGGCGTGTTCTATATGATTTTTTCGCATGAGTAATTTATTTTTGGAATGCTTTACTTAAGGAATTTATTTCTCATATATTTACAGTGTTTCTTGAACTGTATTAATAGGTTGGCTAGTTATCTTGTTCTTTTTGTAAATTTACACATCTCTTCAGGAATTTGTGTCAAAAGCTGAAACAGGCAAACAAGGGTAGATGGATAAATGACACGTATCACATGATATACTAGCTTATAATTATGGATGAATATAACCTAGGGCTCATATATGAGTATTTTATCTTTCATAATATTTTCAATAGATAAATTCCTGAAGAGCTATGCTCAATTGCTGATTGGTAAATCTGATTTTCTTTTTCTGTATACATGCCCAGCAAATACACAGTATTATTAGAAAAGATTGTTCTCCTAGATCAACCAGCATTGTGGTGGAATCCTGTGGAGTTTACTGAACTATGATCATGGTATATATTTTATCAAAAAAAAGATCATGGTCTATATGAACTATGTGATGAGAAATACGCTCAAGGCATCAAACTGACACCCTGAACACTTATGATTTGTGTAACTGCCATTGTTGGTCTTTGTAGGCATCCTTTTAAAATATCTGTTCAGTAATATCATAATTCAACGTGATGTCATGAGAAGTTATGAGAACTGACTACTTGGTAGTATTGTCTCTACCTCGCCTTAATACGAGATTTCTTCTGATTCATTCAATTGCAAAATTTTCAAGAGGCTTGAATTTTTGCCCCCTTACTGTTTATCTCTTTCTAGTGTCTGCTTTTAATACTTGTGAATTTGACGTGCGTGATCTTGTCAGGCTGTCCCGAGCCAAGTCTAGCCTCTGATATAGGTGAATATCATTCTTTTGTTCAAATAGAAATTTGTAGGTTTAATTAACTTGTCTTGTATTCCTTTCCTGTTGGAATCAACTTGTATTATTTAGTAGCAACATGACTAATCCATTTTGATAATACCCAGACACTACAAAAAAAAGACACATCCGTGACATTTTGGGCCGAACGAATTTTTTTTTCTGTCATACATATGACACTTCTATGACAATAATTATGACAAAACCCGGTATCATCATAGATGTGGTGGGCTCCTATTTCTATGACAAAAAATCATGACAGAAAATGGGCTTTTCGTCTTGGGCGGGCCGGAGACGCAGCTGCATGACATTCTTTGGGCCGTACATGACGGAAAAAACCGTGGTAGAAGCGAGGGGGAGGAAAATTTCGGGGAGTTCCTGGTTACGGTGGGAGGTCGGGGGCCGAGCGATGCGCGTTTCTCTTGTACACGTACGCGCGTGTGTGCGAGGCGTTGGCTCTAACTGAACCCGAGCGAGGCGTTGGACTCTAACTAAACCCGAGCGATTGCACTACAGGCTACGCGTTACTGAATCCGAGCGATCGATCGATGGCTGTTAACTGAATCCGATCGAGCGATTCCTTCGCTACTGCTGCTAACTGAAGCCGGTCGATGGGATGAACAGTGAGCGTTGCGGGGGGGTTTGGATGAACAGTAAGCGGTGACGTTGCCTCTGGATGAACAGGACCCCGTGGTGTGGTGGAGGGCTGGATGAACAGTAGACGATGGAGGGGTGCCCGTGGAGGGGTGGATGAACAGGACCCCGTGGTGTGGAGGGCTGGATGAACAGTAGACGATGGAGGGCTGCCCGTGGAGGGGTGGTTGAACAGGACCCCGTGATGTGGAGGGCTGGGTGAACAGTAGACGGTGGAGGGGTGGTTGAACAGTAGCCGGTGGAGTAGCGCGCGGTGGAGGCTGGATGAACAGGAGCCCGTGGAGGCTGGAGGAGGTCGACCGTGGAGATGAACAGTATCCCGTGGAGTTCTGTTTTGCGGTACGCCACACCCCTCCCGATGAATAGGACCCCCGTTTCGACCGTAGCGCTCCAACACAAGTCCGTTTCGTCCATTTTGCGGTACGCCACACCTCTCCCGATCAACAGGACCCCCGTTCGACCGTAGGAAGTCTGTTTCCTCCGTTTTACGGTACGCCAGACACCTCCCGATGAACAGGATCCCGTTTCGAATGTGCCCGGTCGAACACAAGGCTGTTTCCTCCGTTTTGCGGTACGCCAGGCCTCGTTTCCATCGCCTGTTACGTCCAAGCCCTCTCGATGAACACGACACATTTCGTTGCCTCCCCATGAACACGACGCATTCCGTTGCCTCCCCATGAACATGACGCATTCCGTTGCCTCCCCATGAACACGACGACGACGTTGTTTCTCCGTTCCGACCCAGCCATGTACACGAGCCCTAACCATACGTATGTGCGAGTAGGCGTTCGAGACCCCGCCCGTATGTACACATACGTGGCCGTATTTTCTTTCTTGCACCCTGGCCACTGTATGTACGTGTACATGCTACGTGCGCGCCTCTACTACGACACATGCGCGCCTCTACATCGACCAGTATGTACGTACACGTTCACGACCAGAATTACAACGCTACGTACGCTTCGACCAGGTGGGTCCCGACTGTCAGGCACTTTCTTGCCTGCGAAGATGTAGCTGGTGGGTCCCAGCAGTCAGGGGGTGAATCTTTTTTTCCCGGACGCACTTCCTTGCGTGCGAAGATGTAGCTAGTGGGTCCCAGCAGTCGGGGGCCTGGTCGGTCCCAACAGTCAGGGGGACGAATCATTTTTTTTTCGGACGCACTTCCTTGCGTGCGAAGATGTAGCTCGTGGGTCCTAGCAGTCAGGGGGCGAATCATTTTTTTCGCGAAATACGGTGGCCCGTCCGGTGGGTCCACGCTGTCAGGTGGAGGAATAATTATTTTGCGCATAATAAGGAGGCACTTCCTTGCGGCTGCCGTGGACCCAGCTGTCAGCCTCTCCACGTACTCTTCCGATGAAAGTCGGTCGTTGACCATGTTGACCACGCCGCACCAAGAGCACCAGGGCGGTGGTCTGGACGACGGCGAGGCCTAGGAAGGGGACGACGTGGAGCTGGGGAAGACGCATCAGTGGAAGCCCGCGTGGAGAGGAATACGAGGGTTCACTGGTTTGGCTGCTGTCGTGGAATTGTCACGGCATATGTCCTAGTGTGAGGACTTAGTCGTGAGGCCAACGCATCTATGTAGTAAGTTGAAGGGGTTGGTCAGAATCGAGAGACGCAAGGTTTTACCCAGGTTCGGCCCCTCACGGTGGAGGTAAAAGCCTACATCCTGCTTCATTGATATTTATGATGATGATTACAATCACACGGGTGCTCTAACTTGAGAGCTATAGACTTGTTTGTCTAACCCTAATCTATCTAACTTGTGGAACCTATCCCTCTTGGGGTGCCCTGCCGCTCCTTATATATGTTGAAGGGGTGGCTTACATGACTAGTCCTATTAGGATTAGGATTACTCTATTACAAGTGGAGTCCTAGTCTTGCTTCCTTTGTAAGGGAATATTCCTTATGCTTTCCTCTTAAGCCGGCCCACCATAACATAGGCCGATCTTCCTTGAACCGCCTGTCGGGCCATCGGGTCTTGTTGTTCCTCTTCACCCACCTACCGGGTTATCAATGAGTCACCATCCCAGCCGGGTCATCAATGAGTGGAGAGATCCGGGCGGGTCACTTCATGAGTCGCCAAGTTAGGGCGGGTCACCAGTGACTCTCCAAGTCCGGCCGGGTCATACTTCCGACCGGGTCATTCCGCGGGGTATATCCCCGACATTAGCCCCCAGTTTAATTTGGATTTATCCATGTTAAACTTATCCTGCAAAATAAACACAAAAACAAATTTGACAGGTTGTGCTCCGGGTTAAAAATTCTTGTAAACCGGCACCTAATCATCCTGAAGTCCTTGTCATTTCCTTCTTCTAGAAAGTCCGGGCCAATAGGCCAGCTTCATAACAAATTTGCTGACATTGGCTCTTGTAGAAAAATATTATAAGAAATAATCCATTTAAGTCGGCCTTTAATGCTCTGACTTGACAAAAATATTGGTCTTGAAATATTCAACTGATATTCAGCCGGCTTAAAGATGTAGATCTTGCCGATTTATGATTGCCAAAATTGTCCAGTTATAAACAAATGATGCCAGGTCATGTAATTGTTGTTGATGCCGGGTTAATCTTATGATGACGCCGGGTCATAAACCTTGCAGATTTCTCCGATGATAATAATATAATACCTGATTTGCTCAAAACTGAGAATTTGAAGTTATTCCTCCCTTATATGCATATCACCTATAGCCCCCAAGTGCCGGGTTGTCATGCTTGCAGCAACCTGGGACTTGTAATTGCCTTATGCTCATAAAAAATTCAACCAGTGTAGCCCCCAAGGGTCGGGTCTTTATGCAATAATGAGCATGGACTTTGTAAATATGATCATGTAAACTTGAGCAGCAACGTGTAGCCCCCAAGGGCCGGCTCATTATATTGTGATGTGTCGGG